CCTCTTTTAATAAATTGAATAGTTCTATTTTATTTTTTGGTTTTGGGTTTCTCATTCTAAGTCTTCTTTTTAAATCCTGCCATAAATTTTCAATAGGATTGAGGTCTGGACTTTGAGCAGGCCAAGGGAGAAGTATAACACGATTTTCCTCTTTCCATTGATTTGCCACAGCTGCTTTATGACATGGTGCATTATCTTCTTGAAAAATAAACACACGACTATGACCATAACCATGACCACCATCACCACCACCGCCACCGCCATGATTCACCTCTCTTAATTCATTAATATAAGGTAGTAAATTTTCTGCAAGATCTTCAAAAATTAACTTGGTTGAGTATTTTGTATGACATCTTGGCAATTATTTTACTAAATAATCTAAAATTTTGGATATAACTAGATTCAAACATAAGACGCATTTTTCACTTATATCGCAAAGGTCGTTAGAACTTGACATTGTGGTCAATTTTCGAGTTAAAGATTTTTTTGAAAATTCCAAAAAATTCATTTTTATTTTTTAAAGTTCGTAAAACAACGAGTTGTTGTTTATATGCAGCGAAACTTCAGTATGCTATACTATTTGATATGGCGATGAATTTTTACTTAATAAGCAAATGCAATTAGGTTAATAAAATTTTTATTTTTTTTCATGTTTCTTTGTTCAATTATTTCTGATGATCTGCAAGTGTCCTTATATTTATGACCAGTGAGTGTATATTATAAAAATGGAAGGCAAGTCTATATTCTCTTCTTGACATGTTTTGGGATTTGCATTTTTAGTAATATGAAGTCTTTTCTTTTTACTAGGAATCCCAGTGGACAACCCTGCTTATTTCACCTTTGACCATGAATGGTCTCTCTTGAATTTTTTATTGTACCATCAACATTGCTGCGATTTCCGATATGACAAACACAGATAACATGACCAATATGCCCACAGTCTTACAGCAATACTTCACTGGGAACAAGCATCCGAAGTTGCAATTGAGTGGGCTAGCAAGGCGTTTGCTATATTACAGGTTCATTTCTTTTTATTGTAGTGGACAAGTCCAAAGATGATTTTCCTTTGGATGGGGCTGCAGTCTGTGTTCAAATACTGGCTGCAGTTGGTGGTTTCACCCTACAATAAAAAGAAAAGTTTCATTAGAAGAACTCTCACCAACAACCACCCAACACTACTGGCTGTGGTTGAGTGTGCATGAGCTGTGGTTTTGGTGGTTTACTTATTAGCTGTTTACTGACTAAAAATTATGCCTTTTTAGGAGGAAAAGAAATCACAATCAGTTGCCAAGTTTTGGGAGAATATTGCGTCAGTAGAAAATCAAAGGATGGCAGCTATGGCTAGATGCACAGTTTTGATAGTATGAAGTATTTGACCTGTTAAATATGTCTTGACATATAGCATGATGAAAAAACACACTCACTTCCTTTCTGTTGTCACAGGAGGAGCATACTACTACTATTACACAATCAGTTTTCAAACAAGATCAGATTGTGTGTGAGAAATATACAAGACACCAGGATTGGCAAATGTGCAGTCCATTGATGGTCTATTGGTGGTCCATTGGGTCCATTAGTGTAGCACTTTAACCATATTTAGTAGGGTTTGTATTCACGGATACCATAAGGAGGTCACACAGGGTTACACACTATTAAAATCAAGTGTTTTTAAGCGATTTTTGCTGATTTATTAGTGTGTAACCCCCTTAATGGTATTCATGGTATCCGTGAATACAAACCCTAATATTTAGTATTTTATTAATTGCAATGGACAGTCCAAAATCCATCTGTTCTCAATGGACCAGTCAATTTGCCAACCCTGTGAGACACCTACAAGGTACAGAAGACAGTCATTCACATAAGCATCGACATGGACATACTCTGGAGAATAGGGTAGCTGTATTTTCCATCGTATTTTCAATGTATAGTCTGCAGCAAAGATGTCTTCTCACCTTTTGGATGTATGCACAGGTTGTATATGATGAAGAACTTCTGTTTGAATAGGAATTTGATGCACCATGACCAAGTTGGCTAAAAAAGTAATAGAGGAACATTGCTTATCAATTTCTAAGGATGATCCAAAAACTACATATGAATTGTCATTAAAGTAAGTGTTGGATGAATACTGGTTCTATTTCTTTGATGATAGTCAAATTCTAACAAAGTCCATTCTTTAGACCAATTTGGTGGAAGATTGTAGACTCATCAGATCCAAAAATCATGGATCTTCTGTCAGAATCAGATCTATCAAATCTGAACACAATGTTTTTATCTGCCCTAAAAAGTTGGACCGTGCTAGAGCCTTTGGCAGAGAAATGTTTAAAGTCTCTGATGAAGGTGAATGATGATGATTTAAGTGTTTCAGTTCTTTTATTGAAATCCTAATTAAAATTTGCGTTTGGTTTCCAGCTTGTCAGCCATCAGCTTCATACTATCTGAGCAATTGTAAGACCAAAGGGAACATATGGAGATATTCTTAGACTCCAAGAAATGTTGGTAAATATTAGAGATCCGATTAACTTAGAAGCTGATGATGGTCTATTTTGTGACAAATGTGTCAATGAAGATGAAAAAAATTTTCACAAAGAGACTCCATCACTTGTTCTTGAAGATCATCTAGACCCAAATATTATGTTTATTTTTGACTTGATTTGATGTATGTAAGCTCATTTAATAGTTCAACATTTAATCATACACACAACTTCACATAATTTTACTTTACTTCTACTAGGTGTGAGATAATTTTGAAAAGAATCCCCAATAGACAAAACTTGGAGCAGGACATTAACATCTTTGTAAAACGATATATATTTTCATGTTTTGATGACATTTTGGACAGTCATTTCAATAATATTTTTGTTGTTTGTAACTATGCTTATAATTTTTCTTAAATAAGCAGTGAGGTTGTATCAAGAGCATCACGGGATCATTGAGTAAAAAGCAATAGATGCTCTGAGTAATGCAGAAGGATACCATTTAGGTTGGATGTTTTCAGTATGATATATTCTTAAAGATTTCATTAGTAGTGTTTGAGTATTTATTAACTCAAGTCTACAGAGACATGGTTTGGGAAAAGATTTATCTTGGGCCATGAATTTTCAATTTGTGAGTGTACTGGTTCAAAAATTGAGAACAAGTGAAAGGTTATTTCAAATAGTTTAAAAGCACAAAAGTCTCTCAGAGACATGCATCAATCTCTAATTGAAGCAATATCTGCTGAAGGTGGAGGAATGGTCTCAAAGCCAGTTTAGCACCAAGCTTCTCATGCCTAGATTCTATCATCCCACTTTTTGATGTGTGCTATTCTAATTATGTATGTAGTAGTAGTGACATTAGCTGGCTAAGAAATTTATCGGCTTAGCTGGCATATATACCTGAATTGTTTCAACATTATGGAAAGATTGTGACACAGAATAATCAATGTCAGAAAATGGTTTGAAATGCTGAAATGGGCACAGAATCCAGGTTATTATCTTAATAATGGCTGTCAACATTTTGTCAGAATAGTATAGACTATATATGTATTTTTTCATATTGATACCTCCAAAGGCTGGCATCTTTTTATTAATGGATTCAGACTCCAAAACATAATGATTGTGATTATCGTCACCAATGTTGACAATTGACTTCAAGTTGCAACTAAATGGTTAATGGTTAAGGTTTTGTTTTAACCAGTTAATCAATTCAGTCAATCAGTTAAAGGTAGTAGGTACCATGTTATGTCAATTAATAAATTTTTTGTTTTAATGATAATGGTTGCATAATAATTCTTTTTAGTTGCCCCTTTTTTTGGAAAAAGAAAAAATTTTAATGTTGAATTTATCACTGGCAATGAAAAATAAACTATAGTTAAACATATTAAAGATTGGCCTTTATTATAAAACTGTGCAAATGAAGTCTATGTGATATACAATGGTTTGAGGTCATGAGCAGACTGATTTTTTTTAAATCTTGCTTAATATTAAGTATCATAGCAATTAAAACATTGATTTGTTAAAATAAAATAAAATTTTTCACATAATTAAATATCAACCCATACTGATCGTATTAGAAGCACCATCACTTCCAAAATGATAATATTATGATATAATCTGGTTAAATATATTTTCGCCATCAATTGTGTCTAGATTAGTCATACCAAATATCTCATGTATGGCATATTATTGATGATATATTTTCCTACTATTGTTAAACACTTATCATCATCAACACTATTGGCTTCATCAATCATTATACTCCAATAAATTGAGAATTTAGTTCTTCAAAAAGTGACTTACCAATTATATAAGTTATACTATCTAAAAATTCAACACCAGATACATGATTATTATAGCTTTCATATTTTGATTTAGATGGTGATGGTTTTTTTAAAGAGTCAGGTTTCAAGGTAGTGAGTGGTATTATCATTAATTATTAATTCTTTATTATTTTCAATTTGTAATATCAGTAAATTACATAAATCATAATAATTGTTGATTGAAATATTGTATTTTGAGTATATAGAAAGTAAATATTTCTCATTAAGAAATAATTGACAATTTTTCTGTGCTTAATTGTCTTGGAATATTTGGTTTGAGTAATTATTCGGATTTTTTATGCTCATTGGTCTTCATATGATTTTTAATTCTTTTTTATCCTTAATAAAGATATGCCTCTTGCAAGTACTGTTTCCCCATTGTGATTTCCCAACCATGGATAATCATCAAACCACTTAGGGTCAACAGTTTTTCCAATATGTGATCATTTAAGCTCTTCTATATCTTCACCATTGGAATTTTTGACATTTCTAATATATTTAAAGCTAATTAATTATTAATTTCGATACATATAAACCATTTATTTTGTGTAATATATAACTAATATATTTTCGTGCGCATGGAAATTTCGTGTAATGTGACACCCCAACATTTATAAATACCTTTTTTTAATTCAATTTTTTGGTAATTCTATCAAATATATTTATTATATACAAAATTTACACACGTATAGAAGAAAATTTTATAAATTTATATTTTGAATCACAAAAAAAGAAATTATGAGTAGTACACTTTGGACAAATTCTTCAGATAGAATAAATTTATTATCAAAAGGTGGCGATAACAGTGGCAGTGGTGGTGGTGGTAATGCTGGTAATAGTAATGAAGAATCATCTTCGAGAATAACGAAACATGATACCGATATTGCAAATAATATAATATATGAGCAACAAAATGATTTACAACTACAAGAATTGAATGATAAACTTTCAACTTTACATAAAGTATATTTGTAATTCAGAGTAATTTTACGTAATTCTATGTAAACTTTTACTAATTTATGGAATTTTTAATTTAATTTTAAAAAATATAGATTACACTTGATATTCATAATGATGTTAATGAGCAAGTAAATTTTCTAGATGACACGGTTTGTAAAATCACATTTTCATATTCTAGAAATAATTAATTATTATTTGATCAATTGACAAAATTAAAATTTTTTTTCTTCATACATATAAATAATATATAGGGAGACTCATTTCTAACATTTAGAGGATCATTGAATGGCACAGTTGAAAAATTAAAACATATGACAGCCATTAGACATCAACAATACATGTGTTATTTGATCATGTGTGTAGTAGGAATATTTTTTTTCTTTTATTTCTTTTTGGGTTATTGGACTAAAGGTGATGGGGAAATTGAGAGCAGAATTGATGTGTAGATATTTAGATATCATATATTTATAATAAATAATAATAATAATAATAATGATAATAATAATGATAATAATAATAAAATTTTTAAAAAAAAAAATTATATATATCTTTATTATAATCAAACAATTACCACTTTCAATAAATTTTATAATTACAAATTTTGTAGCTACATTATTAATAAGATCTTCTAAATAACCATATTTTATCAATTTATTTTTCAGGCCATCTTGCTTTCTCTAATTTATTCAAAGAATGATTTTCAAACACATAAAACAACACTATTAATGGCTAATTCCAAAACATTATTTATAATGTGCAACTTTTTTGTTGCTTACTATTATTAATGCAATTTTTGAAACTTTGCCAAAATTATGTTACAATTCATTTCTTTTTTATATGATTGATAAATTGAAGCTGAATTTGACTCATTGATATAACTTTTCCAAGTTAAAAAATCAAATTATATTATAATTCTAAGTATAATTAAAAAAAAATAGATATGTATATATGTATATGTATATATATATATATATATATATAATAGCCTTTAAACAATTACAACTTGATTAAAAAAGAAGCTGAACATACACAAATTGAAAATATTCTACTCACCTACCATAAATATCCGACCACTCAAGTTGTGTAATGTCAAATGAAAAGAGTCTTTACTAAAAAAAGTAACTTTTTCTTAAATAAAACCCTTTTTACTTTACTAAGTAGACTTGTACTCGATATCAAAATCTGTAAATTACAAAAGCTTCGAAAGGTTTAGTATGGTATTAATAGAAATATTTAGCAAATAGTCCAAAAAAGCAAATTTTCAATCGGAATCTTTACATGTAATAAAGGTCGAATTTCTTCATTGTAATGTATATTATTTCATTAATAAAATGTGCTCGACGTAACAGATTAAATGTATCTGCAATATGGTGTTGGCATAAATTAGTTTATGAAAAGGGTTTAAAAAAATATCCGACCACCTCGTAATTTTATTATATAAACACTTAATAAAGTTGACAAAATGCAAATTTTAAGGCTTTTACGTTTTATTGTCTAGATCAAATTTTCTCAAATTTTAGCCATATATAATTCAAGATATTTTAAGCGGACTTACTTAATGACGTAATCCATGATTCAACTGAGCTTTGAAGGTTTTTACTAAGCTCAAAGTTTTCATAAAAATCATGGAATTTTTTGTCTAATTTAAAATTTTCATCCTAAATGCTAACTCGACGAGACTTTAACTTTAAAAATCATGTTTACTTAATGCACAGTCCCGGTTTGATTAAAATGATCATCAGGTGGTCGGATATTTATGGTAGGGGAGTGTACATGCAACAGAACCAATTTGCTTTCTTTTTTCCAATTCTTTTTTTTTTTCCTATTAAGATATCATTACCAAAATATTGGAATGTATCTCTTATCAAAAGGATAGTTTTCCTCTTTATAATCTTTCAAGTTCAGAAAAAAATTTTAATGGTTTAATTTGAAACCAAGCACAATAATAAAATTTCACTCAGTGATGACTTAGCGTAAGTATAAGAGATTCCTGAATTTTTATGGAAATAATTATTACGAAAATCTGGATATAGAGGAAAATTAAAGGTTGCTTGCTCCCATGAGTGCCAATTTTTTGAATCGATTTGTTTCCCAATTCTCTATTGTCATGTCCTTTCATTCATTCATAAAAATAAGTCATCCTATGAAAAAACCTTATTAAGACGTGAGCCACCTCTGTTTGGATTCTGATTAAGCAAAGAAATGGCATCAAAGTATCATCAAGTTTCTGTAAATCATTCCACGATTGTTCATCATTCACTGGATTATAAACTTTAGGAGATAATCTTAGTTCATTCCCAAAATGGATTTTACAAAGTCCGTCTAGTCAGTATTTATAATTCATTACATTGACCTCTATTATATGACTTATTAAGGAGAGAACATTTCTTTAATAAATTTATTGTTTCATCTTTAATAAACGCTTTGAAATCTGATTCATTAACAGGTCAATTACTGATACTAAAGAAGAAATATTTACGTTGTTATTGATATTCCGATAGAAATATTTTGTGATCATGTGTAGATCACCTGATTTTAATAGTAAAGGTGTCAAAATTATGTGTGGCAGTACCAAAAATTATACACTTTTTCTATGACCTTTGAATGTTAAAATTTGCAGACAAGCACGTGGATTGAATCATTTATATTAAAATAATCAAAAATTTTTGAAGGTTTTTTTAATGGCTTAATTTCATTGTTGTTGCTTAGTTGCAACTTTTCAGATCGTTGGTTAATGTATATTGTTTAATTTTTTTATTGGTAATAAAGTTAAACAGATGGAAATCTTGATGACTTTTTGATTTTGCTCACTTGGAGTAATCGTTAAAATTATTTCTTGTTCATTTACATCTATTTCGTGATCCTTTTCAGTATCATCAATTGTGATGTATTCGACATAAATATTAATATTAAAACGCAAAATTACTAAATCAACAAATGCTATAAATTTAGTAATTTCTAATAATAAATAATTCATAAATGAATTTATATGAAATAAATTATATTTTACATTTCACTTGCTCTGTTTTCCTCATATTTGTATAATATCCTTTTGTAAACCTAGAATTTTTCTATGTTTCTTTCTAATGCTTTTTCTGCCTTTGCTAGTTCTTTCTCTAATCTTTCATATAAAAGTAATGAAAATCGCTATTGAACTAATAATATATAATTTATTAAATTCTAAAAAGAAATTTAAAAAACATTTAATTTATAAAGTGATTTAGAAATTTTTGAAAAAAATATATTTATTAACCTATATATGTAATTTATTTTAGTATAAAAGAAAAAATAATTTTACATTTTGAAAAAACTTATTTCTATCTATCGAGATATGGTGTGAGAACCACCACCACCACCACCAGTAGTAGGCTGTTGTGCCTCTCTTCTAGCGGCATCTTGTAATAATGATGTGTCAACAGTACTGGCAGGCAGTTGGACATACCTTACAACAGATCCACGTATAAAGCAATTCTTTACTGCCATCTTAAAATGTTAGAAGTCAATTAAAATTAAACAGCGAAAAATATATATGCGTATGCGTGTATAGAAGGGATCTTTGAAAATATTTATTAATCTAGTTGATCCAAGACGAGTATAAATATAAATAAATACCATATGAGGATATTTTGCATCGTCAATTACTCGTATATTATCCAATTTGATATTGAGAAATTGATCAACCGAGCTTAAGATACCAGTAATGGCTAAATCGTTTTTTAATTCTACAGTCACCTGGTGACCTATTAAAGTCTTGAAAAATGAATAGAAAAGCTACTTTTTGGTTAGAAGAAGTGAAAAAAAAAATTTTTAATGTTAAGGAAATGAAATATCTCACCATTATTTTTACAAAAAGATCATGTATATACAGATAGATTTTGTGATTCACAAAATTGCACAATTTATGTAAATCACAAAATTTTCTCGATATATTCATACATCTTTCAATATTGCAATTGATTAATTGCCTATTTCAAGCTGTGCGATAGAATGAAGCTTTATAATACAATAGTCACCAGAATATGTTATATTTTAACAAAAAGTGTTAAATTTTATATTATTATTATTATTATATATACAAGTCTAATGGTAATTTTTGAAATTCTCTGTCCTTGATTTTAATCAAAAAATTATTGTTTCCCACGTAGAATAAAATATTATACGAAGTTCTATGTGAAAATATGTTGAATCTTTGTGCTTAATCGAATGTTCGGGTTCGCAGTAATTTTGGAATAGAATTAACATGGTAATAGTAATAATAATAATAGTAAACTGGTGGTTCAAACCGAGGTGTCACCTGACAATGAATCCATGTTTTTGTTTAATTGCTATTACACAAATATATACAACAAAAAACTTATTAAAGTTTACACCACATGGCAGCTTAGCTTTTTTTTTGATAGATATTCATTCATGTAAAATTACAAAATAAAACAAAGTTTCAATTAAATTGGAATAGTTTTTTATAATTGCACAGTTTGAAAATAACATTTTTTACTATCTGGACAGAAGAAATCTTGGGTTTTGATGAATACTTGTATATGCATTTTTTTTGTTTTTTCAACCAAAAATCGAAATCATGATAGCATTTATAGTTATAAATAAATAAAAAAACAATTTAAAAAAATTATTATTACTAAAGCTTGATGAGGAGTTATGAACACATTTGTGTAATTAACAAAAATATGGGAAGAACAAACTTTACACATTTTCTTTTCATTCCACAAGATCGCACACATTTGAATTAATAATTTAATAATAGTTTTTTAACACAATTCACCTTTACTCGTCCAATTTGCTCAACGTGCCCATACGAAACTAAGTTTTCTGCATTTATCCAATTAACTATATAGTAATAGTAATACATGTACTACTGTGTTTATTTATTATAAATAAATAGAAACAAGTGCTTCGTCATCATTTGCAACACAAAACCATTTTTGCTATACCATAACTGGTATTATATAATTGTAATTTGCTGACATCATTCATAATCAATAAATGAGGTGGATCTATTAATATCTTTTGATATGATTTTCTGTAGTCTCGACTTGAGAAAATTTGATATTGGTTCGAATAGAGTTCTACCTTGATATAAAAATTGATGTATGGATGATTATTTTTTAAAAAAAAAACTAAATATAGTTATGAATATTTTATTAGTACATATTTATACATTTATATATTTATCTATTCATTTTTAGTAATGCTGAATGTCTGTCTAATGAATACCTTGCATATATTTAACTGTTTAAAAAAAATTTTTTTTTTAAATTTAATAATAAATAAACAGACGAATCATCAAATCTCTAAACCGTTTGTTACAAAATTGTTCTTTGTTGATTGATAGTCGATTATGACAATACGGGCAAAATTATTTTCTATTTTGCATCCTACAAATAGGAGAATATTAATGTTTCTATTCATAATATAAATTCTCTTTAGAATT